AATAGACCTTATTAAAAAGAGCATTTTTTCGAATTCAACAGTAGGTATAGAACAAAAATTAAAATTAATTGAAACATAAATTAAAGAAACAAAAATTAGGTGTCAATAACTTCAATTATTACGACTCTAATCGACAACAAATATTTCTAATRTATTTTGAGTGCAGTTTGCATCGTCCTGTCCCACACCTATGCAATTTAAAGTGCATTTCTGCGCTTCCATTACCAAGAGAAATCTGAATCAAAAATAATTCATTCGAGCGACCCCCTGTCCAATAGTAAAACTAACCGAGACCGGCGATAAAAAATTAAAAAATCCCACGGAAAGTAATTAGAAATATAGTAGCAGTTTGTTTAATGGCGTGTGAGAGCCGTTCCTTCCGCGCCGCTTCAATTCCGGCCAGATTTTGCGATTATTCTCTCTCGTAAAAAATTTAAAATAGTTAAAAATCTCACCTGCAATACACCACATCTTTGTTATTTTCGAAAGCCCCAAAGGGCGGATACCTCGTCGGAAGTTCCATCACTAGGACTCCGGACGGACCTGCTACCACCAACAATGTTCCAGTGTCGTTGACCAGTAATAATTCCGGTTGGAACATGACCGGAATTAGAGGCAAAAGATTCTGTAAAAGAAAATTATTTATTTGATAAACGAGCTGCAATTAAGTGGAAAAATTCGGGTGGCGCGACCGCATCGTTTTATATCCTGATATTGATGCATAAAAAATAAGGAGATCGCCCCGTACTAATCCCGGTTATTGCCTAATTTAAATCGGGCCCGGGAAAAGCGAGCGTATAAATTATTGAAATTATTATATTAAAAAATCCATCTAAGAAGTCAAAGAAGCTATTATCCACGACCGTTTTGCCGTTAACTAAGAGCTATTTTTCCACGGCCGGAGGCTTTTTCGGTCTCGTAAAAATAGATTTAAAATTAACGAACGACTTGCACACACCCTCCGATCCACGACGAGGAAAGAGGAGAAAAAACCGCCCCCTGTGTGTATCGGCGAGGACAACGGAATGGAAATTTTAAGGCTAATGGGGGATCCTATCGGGCGGAGATCCCCAATAATAAATAATAATTAAAAATTAAATTGTTTTCAATCAATAAAAATTAAGTATTGAGGAATTTTTGCTTCATTTTTGCACTTAGTACCCAAATAAAATTATTGTTCCTATTCACATTAAACTACACACAAGAAAAATAAAACAACAGAAAGTAAAAAAAATCAAAAGATAGAAATAGACACAAAGAGGATAGTAAAAGAAATAAAAAATAAACAAAAACTTTAATTCAGATAAAAATTTAAATAAAAAATTTATGAAATAGGAAAATACATATGACAAACACCAGAAAATAATCTCTAAAAGAAGAAAAACAAACAAAAAGAAAAAAAAAGGAAATAATAAAAATATCAAAACTAAGAAAAAAGTACAAAAATGCATATCAGTGTGAAAGAAGTATAAAAAAACTAGAGAGAGGAAAAAATATCAAATATAAAAAAAATAATAATAAAACAAATAATAAAAAAAAATCAGGAGATAGAAGTAGACACAAAAAGGCTAGTAAAAAAAATAAAAATAAAGAGAACTTCAATTCAGACAAAAATTAATTTTTTTTTATGAAATACGAAAATACATAGACAAACACCAGAAAATTATCTCTACAAAAAAGAAAATCAAACAAAAGAAAAACGAAAAAAATATTAAAAATATCAAAACTAAGACAAAAGTATACAAATGCAAATCAAAGTGAAAGAAGTATTAAAAAACTTTGTAGAAAGAGAAGAAAATCTGAAACTATCGTGTGGAAAAATAATAATACTAAAATAAATAATAAAAAAATCAGAAAAAAAACACAGAAGTTAATAAAGAAAATTAAAAATAAACAAAAACTTCAATGCAGATAAAAATTAAAATAAAAAAATTATGAAATACGAAAATACATATGACAAACACCAGAAATCTATCTCTAAAAAAAAAAGAAAAACAAAAAATATATAAAAATGTCAAAATTGGGAAAAAAGCTCACAAAAAGTATAAGAAAAAGCAGAAAGAAGAAAAAACCTATATCGTGTGCAAAAATATGTAAAAAAAACTACAAGAAAAACAGCAAAGCAATAAAAGATGGTAAAAAAACGAAACAAAAATAAAAATAATAAGTAATAAAATGTTAAAAATTATAGTTCACTAAATGCCTCCTAAAAAATTACTTTAAAACCCCTTAACTAAATTATTTAAAACTTTGAAAAACACAAAAAATCACAAAATCTATAATTATTTGTTTTGCACTCATTTTAATTTAAATTAAAATTTTAAGGCTAATGGGGGATCCTAGACGGCATTGTAATTATTTTCAATCAATACAAATTAAGAAATCAAGAATGGTTGCTTCATTTTTACATTTAGTACCCAAATAGAATTATTGTTCTTGTTTATGTGAAAACTAACCACAAAAAAAAATAAAACAACAGAAAGAAAAAAGCAAAACAGCTAAAAAAAATCAGAAGATAATAAGAGGCTAATAAAAGAAGAAACTTCAATTCAGATTAAAAAAAAAATGAATAGAATATGAAAAATATCAAAACTAAGACAAAAGTACACAAATGCAAACCAAAGTGAAAGAAGTATAAAAAAACAGAAATAGAAAAATATCAATATATCGTGTGCAAAAATAATAATAAAAATATCAGAAAAAATAGACACAAAGAGGCTAGTAAAAAAAATTAAAAATAAACTTCAATGCAGATAACAATTTAAATAAAAAATTTAAGAAATACAAAAACACATGACGAACACCAGAATCTATCTCTAAAAAAAAGAAAAACAAACAAAAGAAGAATTAAAAAATATAAAAAATATCAAAACTGAGAAAAAAGTACATAAATGCATCTCAAAGTGAAAGAAAGAGTAAGAAAAAGTAGAAAGCAGAAAAAACCTCTAATATATCGTGTGCAAAAATAAGTAAAAAACTACAAGAAAAACGAAACAAAAAGAAAAAATAGAAAAAGGACTAATAAAATGTTAAAAATAATAGTTCACAAAATACATCTAAAAAAATGTAACTTTAAAACCCCTTAGCTAAATTATTTGAAATTTTGGACAAACACAGAAAATCGCAAAATCTATAATCTGTAATTGCTTGTTTTTCAGTCATTTATTTTTAAAATAAAAATCTAACTGTTTTTGAATAACAATAGAGATCTAATAGATCTTTTAAAAAGAGCATTTTTTCGAATTCAACAGTGGGTATAGAACAAAAATTGCAAAATTAATTAAAACATAAATTAAAGAAACAAAAGTTAGGGGTAAATGGACATGTATGAGGAATAATTATTGTGTAAACTGCTCGAAGACAGATTTTGATAAAAAAAAAAAAACAGAAACTGTTCTTCGGTTCTTCAGTTTTCGGTCGTGATATTTTCAACGAATGACAATGTTTGAAACGCATCTTGGGCCGATTAGAAACAAAATTATTACTTTTGGAAAGAGAGTCGATATAAAGACTTTGTCTGCAAATGCGTTAATTGTCTGAAACCTCCCTTCGACTCCTTAACCCTTTCAGGAAACTGATAGAGCCCATCAGTAGCAGAATAATCAAAAGTGCCTCGGAATGATTTGCATAGGAATCACATCTGAGATAACGACAACCCTTGCGACACTCGTCCGTTATCAGGACGTTGATTGGCCCCCCGGTTTTAATCGTTCGAACTGTCCTATCACGAAACCCATCAGCTCTCTTAAAATAAATTTTTGCTGCACAAAAGCAATAATCACCCCTTTTACCAAACGAAGAAAACAGGAAAACGGAATTAACTCGTGTGCTCTCTATTAAGTTATTAATTCAGGAGCGAACTACCATAAATTATAAAATTTTTGAAAGCGCATACCACAAGGTAGCATCAAAACATAATATAGTATTTAATAAGGCCGTGAAAATTAACACCACCGTGCAGAATTACAAATTCCATACACACGATAACATACAACCTATACACGATTGGTGCGTCGACCGCACGACGGCTCTTATTCTCCATCTTCTTCCCCCACACACTTTGTAGATAAAGAGGGACAAAGATGGAGTGATATAGCGCGTGGTGCGACTCCACCAACAATCTTTTGTACATACTGAATACATGTAGCACGGTGAAAGTGTCTTCGTAAATTTATTGCAATAGTATTAACGAAGGGGTAGACAGAGAAAATTATATCGTGAAACAGTCCCACCGTTGCACATAAATTAACGATAGTGCAAATTTATCGAGAAAAAAAATTGCAATTCGACAAAAATGGCGGCTATTCACGTAAACGTGACACAGTCACTCGCAGCGGCTACGTTCGAATAAATTACTCACAAATTGGAGAAATTCACTCTAAATTTTGATATGATTAGCTCAATTTATTTGTAAATTTGAGCAATAGCGAACAGGTGTCGGTGTATGTGCAGAACGGACTCTCAAGGATACGGCACGGCACGTTGCATTCGTAATAACGTGCAAATTGCCCGGATTTTTGCCAAGGGGTGCAATTTATTTGCCGAAAAAATTCCGGTTTCATGTCGATAATAACGTCGCTAACTTTTCTTATTATTATCTTCGGTAAATGATAACATGCGTGCTGTTTTAAATAACTTAGACGAACTTCAGAAGGAGGAAAAATTCACTTCCGAACTTCGTAATCACAATTTTAGCGAAACGAATTTTCACTGGTAGAGTATTCAAGATCCAAACTACTGAAACAGCAATAATTAGACTCAATAAACGTACCAAAAAATACACTACTCCATAAAATTAAAACAACAAAAGTATCTCATATTTTTTTTGGCTGTATCTCATCGAAAAATGGTCGTATCTAGATTTTAAAAAATTATTTTGAAGCTTTAAGTTTCTAGTTTTGAAATCTTTTAGCATTCTTTTTCTGTGCTACAGTTATCACGCAATGAGAATGAGAAAAACAATTTTTTGTCGACTTTCTTTACAATTTGCATTAGTTATATGCTAAAATTAAAAACAAATAAACAAAAATTTGTTTAATTTTTTTTGAAAATTTGTAAAAAAAACAAGATACAATTAATATTGCTTAATTTTTAATTAGAAGTTTCAAGAAAATGTCTTTGATTTTTTTAAATTTGGAAAAAAAGTCAAGAAACTATTGTATAATATTTAAAAAAAACAAAAATATTTTTTTTGAAATTCTTGATCGATTTTTTTTTCAAATTCAACTATTAACTCATGCAAGATTGTAAAAAAGGTAAACAAACTTGTGTTTCTTATTCTGACGAAGATTAGACAATATTCAGGAGCAATATGTACAATTGCTCCTTTCATTCTTTTGTAACCACAAAAAAATAAAACAACAAGAAAAGCAAAACAGCTAAAGAAAAAATCAGAAGATAAAAAGAGGCTAATAAAAAAATTTTCAATTCAGATAAAAAAAAATAAGTACAAAAATACAATGACAAACACCAGAAAATTATCTCTACAAAAAATAAAATCAAACAAAAAACAAAAAAAACGAAAAAAATATGAAAAATATCAAAACAAAAGTACACAAATGCAAACCAAAGTGAAGTATATAAAAACAAAAATAGGAAAAAATATCAAATATATCGTGTGCAAAA